TGTGGATGTGGGTCTGGGTCTGGGTCTGGGTCTGGGTCTGGGTCTGGGTCTGGGTCTGGATGAGGATCTGGCCTCTGGTGAGGAGGACAAACGGCCGCGGGTGTGTTTTCTCTCTTTACGGCTCAGTCTGCTTCAGGAACAACAATACTCACGGAAGCCCGCTGGCTCATAAAGCTCACTTCTCCCCTTTGGTCCAAATACCAGACAGTGGGGTGGGGGTGGGCTGGGGGGGTGGGGGGACGCCATAGAGACGCATGGTGGTGGTCAATCACACTGACCATGTCTGTCAAGTTTCTTCTGGTTGGCTAACCTCCTGATTTCCTGTTCTGATGGAGGACCTGCATCTCTTCCTCTGTACCAGGATCCTTCTTTTTCCTTTGACCTTTGACCTCTTGGCCTCATAGCAGACGCTATCAGACACTACTGTTTAAATCTAAAAGTGTGTTTTTAGACATTTTACACCAATCATGTTCTGATGGTGGAATTCAAATGTTAAGTCATTAAGTCGTTTGGACTCTCAGAACCAAATGAATTAAATCTGTAAACAGCCATTTTAAATCTAAAGATAAACCCACTGAGCCTCTACGAAGAAAAACTACCTGTACCAGGACAAAGTCTAGTTCTGAAACTTATCAGCTCCTACTGGTCCAGAGATCTGGAACAGAGCAGAACCAGATCAAAGCTGGACTCTCAGGAGGATACAGATGTAAAGTTTGACCACGCACCAACACGCTATTAGTGTCATTTCAATAATGCTATTTATAAGTTCTTTCTTAAGCAAAATGGAATTACTCTGACTGACCAGCAATGGTCTGAGCCATCATGTTAACCCATTGTGGGTTAGGGTCCTCTTGTTGTGTAATGGATATTTCCTTTAAACACAATTTGATGCACACATGAGAAATAAAAAATGATTAATTGATAATGGCACTATTCCTATGATGGGACACCGTATCAGTGTTTTTTTTTCTTTTGCATTTTGTTTGTTGTTGCATCATTTTTTATTTTTTTACATTGGACTGTGGTAGACTGGCTTAGCCCTCGTGTGTGAACACCGTTCATCTCCACTAGTTTGGTTTAGTTTAGTTTAGTTTTATTAGGATCCCCATTAGCTGCCAAATAAATGGCCATAGTGGCACATACCAGCCCTCCAGAGCTCCTGTGAGAGCCCCAGGAAGCTGATGACTGCACCAAGCTGCAGAGAGATTTGACAAATCAATCAAGTGTGAAGGATTTCTGTTCCTTCGGGGGAGGAAAAAGATAATCCAGGAAAATTAGAGGAAACTGAAGGAAGTTATTGTCATTGCATCAGACATATAAGGCAAGTTATTTGATATTTTTGATCTTACTTGGGAGCAGGAAATCTGCACAGAAGTTGTAGTTCTTCTGGTTAGGCGTTACTATTTATGCCCCCATGTTATCATCTAAAAGGTGCAAACTTTCATCCATTTCTTTGAAACACAATTTAACGCAAATTAAAGAAATCTTCACAAGGATTTTTTTAAAGAGCCCTTCGAAATCTCCATGAAAGCCGAAAATCTCTTTCATTTTTTTTCGTCTGCAGCTCCGTTACATGAAATCACATCCAACCAGAGAGTGGTCTCTATTCTATTCTATTACTAGACATTTTATGGGGCAAAAGAAGTGGAAGTGAGGACCCACCCCCTGACATACCTATAGGCACACAGCTCCCCAGAGTATACTCCATGTTTAAGACAAGGAATGCAGGCTAAGGCTGGTTTTTCTGTCTCAAGTTCATGTCCAACAAACTTCCCTCCCTGTGTGTCTCCTTCCCCTCCTCCCCACCTAACAAAGACACACACACACACACACACACGCTCACATTTCCAGCCATTTTTACCATCCCTCTCTCCACTTGACTCACTCCTCCTCTGTCTGCCTTGCAACTGTCTTTTTGTTTCTCAGGTCGGACTTTGCAATTGAACTTGAGACAGACAGACAGCTCGTAAAACGCTGGCAGTCTGGCCCTCCTCGTCTCCAGAAAGGCCCGGTGGTGCAAAACCAGCTGGGAACTAAAGAGTGAAATGAGCAATCTGCTTTCAGCACAAGCACATTTGGAGGAATGGGAACCAGGTCTGCACATTCCAGAGACTTTGCATTCAAGATTCAGGACTTTTATTCGTTCCA